CCAGTTCACAAACACTGAGCAAGCAGCCCAGGGCTCTGCAGGCCTTAGAGGCCCTGCAATGGAATCCTTAGAAGATAGAAAGGAGAGGGAGAGGCGGGGTTGCAGGGGAGGAATGCAGAAGCCTGGTTAGTGCACAACCATTTAGGTGGCCACAATGCATGGCAATAGTAAGAAAAAGTATACTAAAGCAGACCTACAGGAAAATGAAATGTCTTTAATAATGTGATTCGGAGTCACAGATGACAAAGTAGCATTATATGTGCAATTTATGTTCATCTCATTCAACTTAAGGTATGCCACTTTACATGTAAAGTGGTAGATGAATCTTCACCCTTAGCATTTTCATCCTACTAAAAAGAGGGCAAGATGCCTGCTCTATACCACTGTCAATCACTAGGCTAAAATATGCAGGTAGCTGTCTGATCTACTGGGACCTTTCCCTTCTTTCAACTGCCTAATTGCTTATGAAATATGGAGACAACAATTTATTAATAGTAATGACTCAACTGTATCCCATTGCCCAATACTTTCAAGTTTTCTTCTAGTTTGATGCTTTTCTGAAATACTTCACCATCAGCTAACCAAATCACTCTTCTAAATATAACTGAGAGTTGTGAAACACTAACGCTGTTGAGAAGCAGAATGTGTGTGACATTTATTTATCATACACACAGAAATGTTTTCTTTAAAAAACAATAATTTTTAAAAGAGAATTTCCAATTAAATTAGACTGTAGTGAAAGATTTTTAATTCTTGCTAACATTAAACATCTGCATGGACCACTACCTCAGGAGTCTGTGATTCTAACTTCTATTTCCCATTTTGCCACTAATTCATCATATGGCTTTCATGGGAAAATAATTTCCCTTGTGGGTTCTCTGAGTTTAGACACTAGTCTCATTCCCATGTCGGGCACTGACTACAGGTTCACAGAATTTGGTAGCGCTGTCCAAACATCTGCTAGTAATTTGGTGGTCCCCAGAGACTTTTATTCTACAAATCACCATAGGGAGAGATAATGTAATTTCAAAGATGAGAAAACCTTAAGGCACTAAAAATAGTATTAAGAATTGTCCTGTCTCGTGTCAGACATTCTTTCAATAGGGTTATTAGAGAAACTCCTCAGGTGCCTTCAGAATGGCAAGAACCCAACCCTTGTCAGGCATGGAATGAAGCCTCCACTGAGGGATGCAGTTCCTCCTACTCAGGCTCTGGATCCCCCCAAAGGCCTGCCACCAACACAGCCTACAACAATAATAGTGTGGGGGGGGCGGATTGAAGATTCCTAATGCTAACTAATATTTAACATGAGCTGCAATCGGTCTCTTGATCAATTCTTTGAGCGTTTGGAAAACAAGTATCACCAATATATCAAAACCCAAATAGAAGTATTTCACCTTCCTTTTTCTCCACTTACTAAAATCATAATATTGAGAATTTTGTGATTTTATGCAACATAGAATGCCCAAGGTGAGAAGAAATAAACAGCAAAAATTCTACCATAAATAACATTTAAAAAATGAAAAAGCAAAATTGTTGATTCATCTCAGAAGGTATTTTCACAGATCTTAAAACACTGCCTCAGAGACTGAAAACAACAGAATTATATAATGTACTATGTGAAGCTAAGAACTTCAGCTCAGGGATGATGGCCAGGTCCTCCCAGGGCAGCACTGCCAGTTTCTGGACCAGATACACCACTTATCTTATTGAAACGCACTGTCTGAGCTTATGTGTGAACTACTGTTACAAATACTCAAGTAGCAAATATTATTAAACTGACACCTTCCTCACCTGGCAAACCCAGGTGACTTATCAAAGTGTTTTCTTTCTCTCCACAGGCCCCAACCTCAGAGGCAGGAACTGAAACTATTTCCACACAGCAGGGCCAGGAATGGAAGCTAAAAACCCCACTATGCAAAAACCTAGACTGTATTCTGCTGCCAATTTCCCTCCTTTTCAAGGTTCTTTTCCTTAATTCTCTTTTACTGAGTAACTGCACTATCACCTTTTAGTCTGAATATTAAAATGAATACCGTAGGCCAGCGTTCTCACTTAACTCGATGAAACTGATACTGGTATACCCCAGCCAATGAATACTAACACTTCCAACACCAACTCAGATTCCCGGTGCTCTTACTCCCTTATTCCTGGTGTTCTCCTTTCTACACCACAGCTGAGAGAGCCGGCCCTCTCAGTAACCAGCACTGGTGCTTTTAGCTAAACACACACTGATCGGTCACTAGGTGACTTGCACATCAAATTCAGTCTCTTCTCCATTTTTACTAAAGTAGATTTTAGTGCACTCTTCATAAGAGGAACCACAACTGTAGAACGGGACCTTAGAGAAAAATAGTATATATGAGCAAATCTCAAATATTCCTCTATTTTGCTTTTTTTCATGCACATTACTTTTGTGTTCCTCTTCAGTACTACAGTGTGAATCCTCTACAAAATACCTAATTTAAAATTCTTCATTTCATTGATACTATTAAGAAAAGTTAAAAACTTAAGAAACTTGAAAACGTAAATTCTATAATGTGAAAAATAATGAAAATATTTCTAAGTGAGAGGTGCCTTCTTATACTTACTATGTCGTTGACTACGACGCCATGAGCATAAAATACATTCAAAGATCTTTATTTTTGAAGATCCCTAGAAACTCAACGTGTCACTTCCTGATCTAAAGAATTCCAGGTAAATGAGGCTGGCTTCCAGCACTGGAAGCAAGGGATTGGGTTTCAATATGAATGCCGGCCGGCCTAGGCAGAGACTGCCGCCTCCAATAAGAGACGCAGGAGTTCTCGGGTCACAACTTAGCTCAGATTCCAGCGGAGTCAGATTCGGAGCCCATGTGGCATCGCTTACAGCGCTCCCCAGCCAGTGATTTAAGACCCCCACCCCGGGCACTGTTGGATGAAGTTGCCCTTGGACCCCCGGGTACTCGCGGAGCCCAGGGGTGTTGGAGTCCAGGCTGGGGGTAGCTCAGGACCCCGCTTTCTGAACTTCCGAGGTCCCGAAGGCGGGGTGTCAAAGCCAGCATGGGAGCCACGACCACCACCACCCCGGGACGAGTGGGGAGACCAAGGGACGGGGGTGCAGGCTGCATCGCCCAACCCCGCAAGGGTCATAGTCCCGGGCAGTCAGTCCCCGCCACAGAGCTGGCGATCTCCGCGTTCCCACCCTGCGGGGCGGAAACCCGCGGAGCAGCGGAGTCCGCGCAGCGGGCGGCGATCCCCACCCGGCGGGGACGTGGCTCGGATCTGCCCCGCGGCCACCCCGGGACCCGGCCCGCAGCGACCCGCCGGGCGCCTTGCGGGAGCCCAG